GTAATTTGATGTCTGGAGGTGAAGACATAAGACGATTGTAAATAATTGACTGGTCGCCATCGTTTTGATCGGACGTCAAAGCTTCACATGGAATCTATAGGGTCAAAAAATTAGAGAAAGGCGTTCCGTAATTAGCCCAAATTAAGAGGATTTCTGGATAGAAGATCAAGAGACATAAATTTAGAAAAACTTTCTGCGTTCCTACAAAACAAACCCCCTACGAAAAGGCATCAGATAAAGGGAATTTCCAAGAAATTACCGCAAGGTCTCTCATTTTCGAACGTTGGTCTTCGATGAGTGACTTTAGAGGCGACACCACTACTGTCACGCCCTGCGACATTACTGCTGGCAGCTGGTAGCACAAACTTTTTCCAGCACCTATAATAAATAGGCATGCAGTTCAAAGTTGATAAGACCGACTGATAAGGTCATTAGACCATCTAAAATATACGATACATAAGTTATCTAGAAGACCTAGATTACAAACAAGAGGAAAATAAACATATCGGCAAAAGAAAATAGGAATATGGTCTTTGTTTAGATGAGATAGCAGAAGATATTTTGATTATTCAATCTTGTTTTGGGTGAAAAGCTGGTTGAATTATTATCTCAAGAAATGCGATACACTGCAATAATGAATTTTATTACCTGTCGGCATGAGCACAAATGCGTCATATCCCAGAAGAATGGCTGTGATTGCTGTTTTTTGACGATGACGGAACGAGTTGAAACCAAACTTCTCCTTCAGTGTACTGTACATCTCATCGCGAAGCTGTTGGCCAAGTGAGGCGACTAAATGTAAGAGATGCCTTTTTACATTTATCTTTTGTTTTAAACTGGTATCATACCCTCATCTTCAAATTCATCTCCATCATCTTTGAGAAAACCTCGGAACTGACCGTGCATATCTAAATGGTAGTTATGGATATCGTTGGAAATATAAGAAGACAATGAAATGCGATAGCAATTGATTCCCAAAAATTCGAACAACAAAATGACAAGGATTACCATGCCTCTCTCCGCTGGTAACACGTTGTTGAACTGGTATGATCTGAACAAATTGGGATGCAGTCAAGACTATTGATTCACCAATAATTCGTTATAGAAGAACAGAATTGCGAATAAAGTGAAACAAAAGTCGGGACCATTCTGATAAGATTTTATACTAAGTTAGGATGGATGCTGTGTAGCTGCTTAAGGCTGTACACCCTTAAAGCTGAGTTGTAAAACTTTAAATAAGCAGAAGAAAATGAGAAGCAAAGCAAGAAATGAAGCATTTACAAATGTCAGTTGCAGGCACAGTGACTGTTCGTACTATGTAGAGTGCAATAGACAAAATTCATACATCACTTGTTCATTTTCAGCTAGATTATACCACGAATTTGGCTGTCAAACGTTTTGACAGCAAACAAAACGAAAATCGAAATTGTCAACTTAGAAGATGCTTCTATGATTTCAAAATGAAGTTATCATATATGAGTTATACTCACCTCAAACGCTTCATCGTTGAACGAGTCATCTGAGTCCAGGTGATATGCATTACCCTTTGGAGGCTGTGTGTCCATATACTCAACTTCGTCAAATGAATCATGATTCTGACAGAAAATATTTAAGATTTCAATAGCTTCTAGAAATAAGATCTAGAAAGAAAATGATATTATTCCATAATCCCCAACATGTGAACAATAAAACGTCTGTCAAAAGGGCGTGAACTGTTTGATTATTCATCACAAATATCATATTCATTCCAGACATTAAATTATTCTAAAACTTTCTCATTTCGTTTGAGTAGACGGTGGGATTTCTATTATCGATAGTTAGGTCGCGTGTGTTACACTACAGTTACAGTGATACTTCAAAATAATTTTCTCATGTGAGCTTACATTCCTAATAATTTGACCGTTGCATTCGCTGTACTTCTGCAATCAATTTTAGTTAAAATCAACATTCGACACAAGCTTTTATGGCAGGTACAAGGGTCATATAGTTCAATAGATGTCAATACTACTATTACCTAAATATGATACAAACTGTTCAAACGAAGTATATGTATAGCCTTTTCCTCAGCTGTTCGAAAGGGAAGCAGGATCCCCAGCAATCAAAAATGCGATGAGAAAGCAGCTGCCTTCGGCACTAAATCCTTTTGCGCAGAATGCGCATTGATTTGCGCTATAGGCCGAATGCGTTGCATGTTTTGTTGAAAAACATTCAGCCTATGGCGCTACGCCCAACATCCGAAAACAAACACCAGCGTATCAGACATCTTAATTGAGCAGAATTTCATTCAAATCTATTACTTTGGTCGGCGACAGTTTATCTAACGGAACTCTACAAGTAGCGCGGGGATTGATTGTACGACTTCAGTGACTAGTATGTCAATAACCACACCGGAACGTCTTTCAGCAAATCTGCAATTCTCGTTACGACGCACTCTGGCATCTGCGCAAGATTACTCTGCTGCGAGCGCATTAATGTCTATCTAGTCCTACAGAAGGGTCCTATCACGCGTGATAGATGTTCATGAAGCATGGTTATAGCCCTCATAGTTAATTCAATAAGATTTTAAGTTTACAAGTGGCAATAGAGAAACAGGTTCAAGTAACAGAGATATTTGTTTGGAAGGAAAAGCCCAACTCACAGCTTCAGGCTCATCATCAAGCAATATGCAGTCATCTGATGGTTCATCTTGAAAAACTATTTCGTCATCGCTCTCTTCAACAACTTCATCTGTAATTATGATAGAAGGAGCAAAATGTTTACGTCTTCAATTGGGAAAGCGGCTGTAATTGCAGTGAGACCCACCCGTAACTCTATCCTCCGTGGTAGATGGCTCTTGTATTGCGGGAAAAATTTCAGAAAATGCTTTCTCGCTATTTTTCTTCTGAAATTAGTAAATGGTTTCTAAAGACCTATTTTTCTTGTTTGTGCTAAATGGTCCTAGTAAACCTAGATACGAAATTTGAAGCAGAAAGTTAATAACTGAAATGAATAAAGTGAAAAATAGTCCACAAGCATTGGCAACATGTTGTGCCATAATGGGAATTACAAGAAAGACGAGTTCAAGAATCCGATGTAATGAACGCAACTCACATCTAATATACATGAAACTGCGGCCAGTGAAGGTGGTGACGGTAGATGTGAAGAAACTCCTACCGACGGCTTTCTTATTATAGGAGGTGGCGCACACTTCGCAGCTGATGAAAAGTGGGGTTCAGCTGGTACTTTTGGGGCCTCTTGCTTCTTTGGAAGGTTACTTAATTCCGAATTATTTTTTGGTAGGCTTCGTGGGACTGCTGCACTCCTGGGAGGTTGAACAGTTGTGGAAGAAGCTGCATTTGTCACCGGGGTTTCAGATGTTGATGTGGTTTGAATGATATTCTTTACCTAGATGCGTTGCAAACATATGAACTACT